TCTTCCACAGCCAGCCAGCCTGTGCTTTTAAGGGGTGCATGTGACTAGGTTTGGCCTGTGCAAAGCATCTTCCTGTTTTTAGGTCTACTGATTAGTAACCTTAATTACATCTGCAAAACCCATACAAGTCATACTTGCAGGAGTAACAGCAGGAAGTAGCTTTCCACCAGAGAGCCATGGTAGATCTCTGCCTTCTCATGAGATGCCAGCCAACACCGCTGAGATGAGATCACAGTTATCTGCTGGGCTTCCAGGTGAGATGCCAGGCAAACAGTGGTAAGTGTAGGTAGACCTTTCTCAGTGAGCTTTTGCCTATCCTGGGTCAGTGTAGGGAAGGGGCTCAGGGCTTCAGGGAGCTATCCTTACCATTTGCATGGTTCCTATCCATAGAAAACTGCTCATCTCTGGGTGTGATTTTGTGGAGTCTCCATGTTCCCCTCCACATGGCCTTCACTGGCATTGTTAACTGGGTATCCAGGGTCCACATGCCCATCCTCTTTGCTGGAAGACAGCCCTACCAACAGAAGTCCCAAGATGCCATCTCTTTACAGGGGTGCTGTGGTTTCTACACATCACCCATCCATTACTGGCCAGGTTGTAGTTGCCACCCAGACACATCTTTTGAAGTGTCGCTCTAATGCATTTCCTCTTTGTGGGAAAGAGCCAGGAGTGGCACAGCACACTCTGCTCTCTCAGAAACACAGTGTTCCGTTCCAGCTCAGAGGAGACTCCACAGGGAAACTACCTTATTGATTGTTACCTGGCACTGGTTTCAGGCCAGCACAATTGCCTGTCTGCCTGTCTACATTGCCTTTTACTTAGAGACTGACTCAGGCACAGTGGCCTAAGACCCCTTCCCCTCCCCATCACCCAGCCCTTCCATCTGTCCCAGGGAGCCACACAGCCTCAAGGACTCTGTTCCCTTTCATCCAGCGCTGGTCTCTCTCAGAGTTCTAAGGACCTCCAGGAAAGATAGGATGATAGAAAAGGAGGCTGAGATTTGCTCCCTCTAAGGGCCCCCAGGCCAAGTTCAGGAAGCAGCCCAGAAGCCAACTCCAAACATTCTCCCCCACCTCCTCTGATCAAGAGCCTGGCACCTGGCAGGCTGCTACCTGGCAGACCAAACCAAACACCCCTAAAAGTGGCGAGGGGCCTGCAGTCCTTCATGACCAATAGGTGAAGGCAAAGGACTGAACCCTAAGGAAAGGGACAGAACAAGAGTCAGAAAGGAGGATGGAGCACAGAAAATCCCAATGCAGAGAGAGCACCAGTCAGAGTGCATGATGCACAGAGACATTTCTCTCAGGCTAGGATACAATAGTAGCCCTGCTACTGTGAGACCCCCCCTCCTGGTTACTGTCATCACAGCCTTGGCTGCTGTGTTGAGCCCCACACACAGATAAGGACTCCGATCCCCAGGGGAGGGTATGGAACAAGCAAGGATGTGTGTGTGGTTCTCCATATGGGGCCCTTGCCCAGGCCAGGGCAGAGGCAGACCTGGGGCTCGGTATACTTCTAGTACAGTCTTATTTGTCAAAAAAAGGAAAATCATTTGGCAACTTTAAGATAAGGAAGAAAAGTTTGAGTGCAACTTAAAAAAGGGCAACTAGCCGAGTGCTAGTGGTTCACACCTGTACTCCTACTTGGGAGGCTGGATCAGGATTATGGCAGTTCAAGGCCAGACCCAGTAAATAGTTCATGGGACTCCATCTCCAAACCAACCGAAGCAAAATGGCCTAGAGATGTGGCTAAGAGGTACAGGGTCTGCTTTGTGAGTGGAAGCCCTGAGTTCAAACCCCAGTCCCACCAAAACACAACAACAACAAAACAGAACAACTAACTTACAAAGACCAAGTATAAATTCGCCCTAGAACAGAAATAAAATCCCTGGCACCAGTCATTCTGGGTTCCCCATTATCCCCAGCTGGCCCTGCACACCAGCTTGGCCACCATCCAGGGCTGTGTGCAGCTCAGACTTGCCATCAGACTGTACCTCATTGCCCCCAGTTAAATTATAGTCTCCCCATGGTGGCTGTGGAAGGATAACTCCATTTTGATCATTTAGGGGTTACACCAAAATGAGGAGTCCAGGGGTCAATGTCCTGGAAAGCCACCTGAAAAGCTCAAAAATCCTGAAAAAAGCCAAAATGCGTGTCTGCTCACTGAGCTGACCAACTTCACAATCCTTGCTTTGTCTGCCAACATCTTTGCTTTTCCTCTGAAAAATTTGTTTTTTTGATTTTTTTTGCAAGTGGTTCTTTGTAAGCTGCGTGAGCAAAATGCATTGTGCTGTTGAAGTTTTATAAAATGTATACCTCACAGAATTAGAGCTTTTAAAATAAAATAAATATCGGCTCATTCTGTCCGACCATTTATCATCTTACTGGGGAAGGATTGGGGGGAGGCCCCAGCTCCCCAAGTGGGCAGGACCAAGTGAGGACAAGGATTGCCTGGCCTCTCAGCAGAATTCATTATAACTTCCATATTCGTTTCATCTTTAGGACATATGTAAATTTTCATAGCAGTGAGCTAATGCAACATATTTTTATAAAAAAAAAAATAAGAGACACGCATGCTTGACTTTCATTGCTCTGGGGCGGCACAGGTTTATTTCAGACAAAGGACACTTCAAATCCTGCGGGTAGCAGGTATGTGTCTGGTTTGGTGAGGACTGCAAGATAAAGACTCCCCAGCTGGATCACAAACTCCACTATGCCCTTTCACCCCTTTGCTGGAGCCTGTGAGCTTGTTCCTTACACAAGGGCTACAAGAGCATGTGATGAAAAGACTCCTCCAGTGCAAAGTGAACTAAACACTGCTTCCTTAAAAAACACCCTGTGTGTTTGTGTTGTGTTTGTGTATCTTACAAGAGACATGCACCCCAGAGAGAAAGCAAAAGGCAAGAAGGCAGTACACCTGAATGTGCAGATGCTTGGTTACAAAGTCTCTTTCTTTGTTCTTGAACAATTTTGTCATTTATTATTTTTCTACTACATACAGTGTAACTTTTATGATTAAAGTTTTCTTACAAAAATAGTCTTCTTTCCAAAATCAGCTTGCTAGCCTGCAAGTGCTCCAGCACCCAGAAATGAGTCCACAGGTACATGTTGGTCCCAAATCCGCTCATGCACTTGGAGTTCTGTGGTCTTGAGCAAGGCGTCACTGGTTTTTAACTATTATTGGCCTTAAGTGCATTCTAGAGGTAGAGCACTGGGGTCACCTGAACACCCATGTAATGGTTAGCATGTTCCAAGGGCTTATGTATGCATTTATCATGTAGGGCCTTTGGGACTGTGGAATACAGTGATACTTTTATAAGCAGTATTCATTTTATTATCTACGGAAGGAAACCAAGAGGCTAATTCATTTTAATAACATTAAATGCATTCGTCAGAGAAGAAAACATTTGGCACAAACTTTGAGCATAGACTTCAGTATCCATGCAGATTCCCTTCTCCCCCATCCCCACCCCCCAACAAGCAGACTCACAGTAAGCTCTAATACGAAAAAGCCAAGTTTTGCCTGGGCTGCAAAATGTTGTCCAAGAGTGGCCTGGCTAGCAGGATGGTCTGCCAGCCTGCTCTAAGTGTTCTGCAGAATTTACTCATTTAAGGGTACATTTTGTAGTAATTATGCCCCCAGCTGTGTTTACAACAGCACAGTTGTGTTTTGCTAGAACAAAGCCCCTCCCCACAAAACTCCACCTCGATAAGGAAAAATCAAGATTTGGGGTGGCAAATTAGGTAACACATAAATGAAACTTGAACTCAAACGCAGAATTCTCTCTTTGGGTTTCTGCCTCATCCAGGAGTAGATGTTTTTAAGAAATGGTAAATGCAAAACAGGATGCTTTCTTTACAGGAAGGGTAATTAAGCTCCAACAGTTTTCCTGTTGCCTTGCAAATGCTTGCAGGATCTGGAGAGAATTTTTAAAGTGGCACTCCAATGAAGCAAATCAGCCCACCCCAAGGACTGCTGGTAAATCAGCAGAAAAGTCCTTCTTAGAAAAATAGCATTTGGCCCCGCCTTTCCCCGAAGGCTCTCAGGCTGCCGGGCAGCCGGGCTGACAGCATGCAAGCCCCACGTGCACTTCCCCTGCCAGACACAGCCAGTCAGGCACCGAGGGTGAAAGCAAGACCTACTGATCTGAGAAGAGATCGGTTCACCGGGGACATTTTCCCCTGGATCCTTCTTAAAGATAGCGTTGGCTTAAAGACTTAACATTTATTTCTCTCTTAAGTCTTTAAAAGGAGTTGTGAACTGCAGCATTCCTTTTCATTGATGTGGGCAGAGGACACTCAAAATAGGAGATAGCAGATGCCAGCCCCACTCACAATTGCTCACGCCTATTTATATAGATGCTGCCTTCCAAGTTTTGCTCAGATCTTCCAAGTTCGATCACAGCCATGACAGAATGATGACTCAGACTTAAGCGCAGTCATTGGTGTCATATTTGATATTAATACCTTTGTAACACTGCTTTGTCAGAGCAATTGAGAGAAAGTTCCTGAACAGCCTGCCCCCATCCTCAAGGACCACAAGGGCAGAGCTGCAGAAGGCAATGCTCATTGTGTAGGAAAGTTATGCCCGGCCTCCTGCAAGCTGTTCAGATAAGCAGCTGTCGAAGGGAGGGGGAGGAGGGAGAGGGGCGGTGTGGGAGGCAGAGGTCACTGTTATCAGAATGGATTGCAAGTCTTGAGCTGCTGCACCCGCATACCTTATCTCAAGTATGCTCCCATCCTGCAAGTTTAAAATCTTCCTAAATAAAGGGAGCGAAACAGGAGCCAGGCTCAAGCTCTACCGTAACACTTGCCAGCGTCCCCTCCCCCACTGCCAGCTCGTAGAGCCTGTAATTCTTGCCAAACAGGAAGACGGGGACAGGTGCCATCAGCTCTGTGCAGTTCCAGCAATCATCTGAAACACTGCTCACCACCTACCTCCCCCTGAACCAAGGGTCCCCTAACACCAATTTTAAAAAAGAAAGCGTAAGTTTTTTTCAATTAATTTATTGGAAAATTCAGAAGTTTCAACGGCAGCATCCTTTAGAAACTAAAGCATTGCCCGTATCCGTTTAGAAAAAGCAGTGCAGTCTGTCAAGTCCGACCCACTCCTGCAGCTGTACCAAGTCCAGGCTTCCTCGCCTGGCTCTTCCTCTCCTTTCAGCCAAGCGCAGGCGGCTGAGTCACGCCTGTCCCACCAGTCTGTCCTTCCTGTGACCAACGTGCCTGCCTCGGCCTTCCTGTGCGAGCAGCCGCTCCGGACACTTGCAGAGTCCTCGGCTGGGGACAATCTGCCCCAGCCGCCTCCAAGCCAGCCCCCTCCTCGGGAGGTGGCGCTCCTCGCTCCCCAGGCGCCCTGCCTGCCAATCGCCACGCCGCACTCGGGCGCCCTCCGAGGGCCCCTCCAGAGCCAGCAGCGCGCTAGGCGCCCCGGAGCGTCACCACGTCGATCAGACCAAGGTCCTCCACTTCAGGCTGTCACTCAGGGAGGGTGATGCTGGGCACCCAGTCGTTGACGCTGCGGCTCTCCTCGCAGAACAGGTTGAGTTTTTCCAAGGCAGGGTCTTTCCACGCGTCCTCATTGGGATTCTGCAGGGAGAAAACGGGGGTCAGCTAGGCTGGCCACAGGCCGGGACCAACAGGGGAAGACACCGGGGAAGGGCGGAGGCGGCACTCACCGAAATGAGGATGCAGTGCAGGTCGCCTGGCGCACCCGCCTCGTCGCCGGCGCCCACGATCGCCGCCAGCCGCTGCACGTCGCCCACGCGCACGATGTCTATGTCGTTCTCGCAGCAGAAAGCTTGGATTAGCGTGAAGTGAATCTGAAGCGCGATGTCGCCCTCGTCCTCCTCGTCAGCGGCCAGCACGCAAAAGGTCACGTTGTCTGGGTCCCTGCACGGACAGATGGGAGGCAAGGTCAGGGGCGGCGAGCCAGGGACTCCTCCGCGCCGCCACCGGGTCTCCCAGCAGCCCCACTCCCAGTCACCTCACCCGATAAGGGCTGGGTCTATACTCACACGTTCAGGACTTTGGCGGACTCGTAGACGCCGGCAGTAAGGCAGCCCTGGCGCTGCGCCGACAGTAGCAGCTCCTGGAGCGCTTTCCCGGCGCTCTGCATCCTATGGGAGAGCCAGAGCCGTGAGCGGGGACCGGCTGTAGGACGTAGGGGATCCCCCCAACCCCAGCTTCCCAACTCCATCGATTCTCTAGCCTCAACTTAACGCTAATACCCTTGACTTTCATCCCGGACCTGGCGCCCGCACCGTAACTCCCCAGCTTCAATTCGGCGCCAGCACTCCTGAGACTCTGGTCTCAGGGACAGGCCCCCGGTTCCCCCGTAGTCCAAACCTGACCCAGGCATCCCAGATTCTCTGGACTTCGGAAAGCATCCCTGATTCACCCGCCCCGCGCCAGCACCCGCAGGCACCCGGTGCTCGCTTCCCACACTGAGGGCTTCCATTCCAAAAAATCCTAAAGATCGCTAACTGGATGAGCCTAGTTCTCTGTACCCCAAGACCTACCTGGCTGTAGTTTCCGGAACAGTATCCTGGCCGCGGACTTCTTCCAAAGTCATGGTGCGGTAGACCTACAGCAAGTTATCCAAAAGTGGAGCGCACAGGAGAACGCAAACACAGAGAAGGCGAGGCTTCCACCGACGCGCCCACCACCAGCGAGTGAGGCTGGCGCGGCGCGCGGCCTTATATACACGGGCCCGCAAGGCGCCGCCAGCTGGCCCAAGGCTGCGCGCCTATTGGCCCGCGCCCGCTTTCTGATGCAAATGAGGCGGCAGGCCGGCGGCTCGTGCCAGAAGGCCACGTGGGGAGGGGTGCGGGGGATGACAATGCCTCAAATCTGCCGCTTTTGTCGGGGTGTTACCAGGCAGACTGGAGCCTGCAGATTTCATCTCGCCTTTCTTTTTTGCAAGTCCTTAAAAGGAAAAAGTTAAAAAAGAAAAAAAACCCTGTTTGTTAATACTATGCTGGAATTTGTGAAATGCACACTTGAAGAATGTAAAAGAGTTTCATTCTGCGTTTATTTTTATTGCAACTTTTCTGGTTTTTCTTTCTTTTCCAGTTGAAGCTGATTAGGCTGTTGTATTGAAATCGAAACTTAAGGTAAAAGCACGCAGTGGTAGTTCGGGGTTTGCAAAAGGCTATAATAGGCGAAGCCTTTGCAGCTGATACCAGCCGCTCCAGCGAGCCTGCGAGGTCTGCCAGGAATACTCAATGCCCTTCAGGGTGGGTGCTGGAAGGTCGGAACCCACCACCCCGCCCTTGGAGAAACACTGCGAGGCTGGGGGCGGGGGGAGACAAGCAGATTGCGGCCGGCGCACGCGGCTCGTTTGCATTTCTATGGGGGGCGCACAATAGCGGAGGTCTGGCGTGTGGCAGTTTGCAGTGGGGACAATCAAGGCTTTCTCTTCATAGCAGCACTGTCCACCTGCCGCCGGGTGGGATGGGCAGGGCCCCGCCGCGCGTGGGGGGCGCGTGGGGGATGGGGCCGCGTGCCGCACCCCCATCCCTGGGTGAGCGCCTTCTGCACCGGCCCAGCTGCTAGTAATTGGACTCCACCGGCTCCTCGCACGCGTGCCGAGCAGCCGCGCGAGTTGTGAAGGGCACCGGAAACCTGTGGCTCTGGCTCCAGGAGCTCGGGGAACGCGATTCGAGAAGCCCTTTCCCCGGGCTCCCCCTGCTGGCCGACCCCCATAAACCCTTTCATCGACCTCTCTGAGGGGTTTGGCTTGGGGGCACCCGGGGCTCCCAGCGGCCCAACCCAGCCCTGTTAGAGAAGCGCATTAGTCGGAATCGGAGTAACGCCTGCACAACGCACGGGCTCCCAACTTCACCCGGCCCTGGCAGGCTCACCAGGGGTCGGGGGTGTGGGGGGGCACAAGGAGACTCCCAACCCGTACTGACGGAATAAGAGCCCGTATGTCTTACACGATTTTGAAATATTTCAGTTACTTAAATATACATCGTTAAAAGATTGCTTCCAGTAAGAAACTAATAAAACTGGAAGAGATCGTGGGAGTTTTACAAACTAGACGTTGCTGTCATTTGATCATTTTGGACCTACAAGCCTCCCTGACAGATGGTTCGCCCGCCGAACCCAGCACTTTTGGCGCATGTAGCTTTCTCTGCTACATGGAAACACATGCTGGGGGGACCCCGTTTGGACTCCCCTTTTCTCGGTGAGGCCTCGAAGTCTGGTCAGGGCAATTAGCGGCCCAGGGATTATCTGGAACCCCAGAAAACTAGAACAAAATGAGGAAGAAAACAACCGAATGGGTTTTCTCTTCTTTCTTCTGGAGCGGTCTTCAGGTGGGCGATGGATATACATGCGCTTTTGGGAAGTTTTCCTTTTGCGCTGGAAGACTGGCACATTTGCTTAAGCCAAGGGCCAAGTGAGGAGCTCCGGAGTCCAGCGCCCTCCCGCGGTTTGGTGGCGGAGGAGCCCTGCAAACGCTAGCGCCACGGGAATTCCCAGAAACTCGCTATCTCCTACCCTGTGGTGTCTCTTAATCGCTGGACCTTGGGACCTTATGCGCTGTGTAGTTGAGGCCGCTTCCCGTCTGTCTTTCTTTCTTGGTGCTACATAAAATGATGGTGTCCCTTGATTGGATAAAATACGTTTTTAAGTGATGGAAATTTAGGCGATGTTCTTTTTTTTTTTAATGTTTTTCTTTTTTCTTTTTTTTTATTAAAATGGCTTTTTTTTTTATTCATATGTGCATACAAGGCTTGGTTCATTTCTCCCCCCTGCCCCCACCCCCTCCCTTACCACCCATTCCGCCCCCTCCCTCTCC